CATTATTGCTTTCTGTAAAAGTATAGTTTTAAAAAAAGAAGAAACCTAAAATGGATTATTACAAGATCTTGGTACCCAAGTTAGAAACAAAAAATTCTTACTGTGAGCCACGGAACAATTTGCATTTCTTGTGATTACTTTTGAAATATTATGTGTTGACATAGTCATGTATGAATGTTTTTTCTCATAATAAATTACTTTTATTAAGAAGAGTGTCCTTTTGGAGTACTGCCCACTCAAAGAGTGATCTAACCAAGTGACTTTAATTTTCTGGATTTGTAGTTCCTTAATATGTAAAATGTGAATAAAATCATAACAGTATTATAGAAAATAAAACTTAAGTAGAAGTTCTGTGCAAATGATAAAGTGCTTTCAATAACTGCTTTTAATTTTTGGCCTACCAGGTAACATTGAGAAATGAAGGAATTCTCTAAAATTTGAACATTGGAAGAGTTTATATTGCTTCTCTGAAATAGCCATTGAGGCTAATCAGAGGTATATTTAAAATGGGCCATCTTTAAGATATTTTATTTTAGGAAATATTTTTAAAAATTAACAGGTTTTGTGTAAAATTCATGTGTTACTCATTTGTTGTGATTTTTTTTAACCTTTATTAGTATATGTTTGCTGCATGTAATGTTTACATTCACTACAGGGGATTGGTACATGACATAAAACATTTCATTTCCCTTCTTTTTTCTCCCTCCTACCACCCTCCTTTTACTTTTTAGCATCAGATTCATTTATTTATCTTATAAAGTTATTTACCATATATACAGAATTAAAACCAGACTAATAGGCCAAAGAAAATATAAAATATGTAAGACAACTGTACTAATTGTACTAAGTCAAATACACTTTTAGATAATATTGTCCTCACTGGATTACAATATCTTTTTTCCTTTTCTTTTTTCTTATTATCTGATATTTAAGTGATATTTAAGGTGTGATATTTAAGCTCCGTCTGAGTAAACTTCACTTAATATATGGTTTCTGGGGGCATCCATTTTCCTACAAATGACTCATGTTTATCCTTTTTTATGGCAGAATATGTAGTACTCCACTGTGTAAACAATATGTATACCACATTTTTTTTTAATACTTTCCTCCATTGATTGACATATAGGCTATTTTGAAGATTTACCTATTGTGAATTGTGCTGCTATAAACATGAGTATACATATGTCTCTGTGGTATGATGTCTAACTCTTTTGGGAAGATAACTAGAGGGTCAAATGGAATTTCTATTTTTAGTGTTTTGAGGAAGGTCCATTCTGATTTCCGTAGTGGCTGTATCGGTTTGCAGTTCAACCAACAATGGAAAAGAGTTCCTGTCTCCCTACAACCTTACCAACATTTATTATTGGTTGATTTCTTTCTTTTTTTTTTTTTTTTTTTTTTTTTTTTTGAGATAGGGTCTCGCTATGCACTATGTAGTTGAGACTGACCTGGATCTCCCTATGTAGCCCAGGCTGGTCTCAAACTCACAGTGATCCTCCTGCCTCAGCCTCCTGAATGCTGGCATTACATTGGTTGATTTCTTGATGGTAGCAATTCTTTGTAGAGTGAGATAGAATCTCTGTGTTGTTTTAATGTGCGTTTCTTGAATGGCCAGAAGTGTTGAAGTTTTTCATATGTTTTATTGGCCATTTGTATATCTTCATCTAAGAAATGTTTATTCATTTAGATGCCCATTTTTTGAGTCTTTACATTGGGGGGGTCTAATTTTTTTGAGTTCTTTATATATTATAGATATTAGTCCTTTGTCTGAGGAGTAACTGGCAAAACTTTGCCCATTCTGTAGGTTGTCTCTTCATTCTGTTAATGGTTTGCTTTGTTGTTGGAAGCTTTTTAATTGGAAGTGATTGCATTTGTTGATTGTTGGTATTATTTCTTGTGAAATCTATGTTTTGTTCAGAAAGTCTTTGCCTTCACCTATGTCTTCAAGAGTTTTAACTTTGTCTTTCAGCAAATTAAGTGTTTCTATTCTTATGTTTAGATCTTTGATCCATTTTAATCTTAGTTTAGTGCATGATAAGATATGGGTCTAGGTTCAACCTTGGCATGTGAATAGCCAGTTTTCCTAGCACCTTGCTTTGGTTGCCCAGAATTGCTTTTGCTATCCTAGATCTCTTCTGGTTCCATATGAATTTTAAGATTCCTTTCTTCAGTTCTGTAAGGAACATTATGGGTATTTTGATTAGGATTACATTAAATCTATGTAACAGTTTTGGGAGTATGGCCATTTTGACTATATTCATTGTGCCTATCCAAGAACAAGGGCTATCTCTCCATTTTCTGATATCCTTTTCAATCTCTTTTTTTCAGAGTACTATACTTGGAGAGATCTTTCATTTCCTTGGTTAGGTTAATTCCTAAATGTTTCATTTTTCTTGATGCTATTGATAATTTCCTTCCCAATGAGTTTGTTATTGGTATATAGGAAAACTATTGATTTTTGAATGTTGGCTTTGTATCCTGCTGCATTGCTTAATTTGGATATTAGTTCTAGTAATTTTTTGGTGGAGTTTTTGGGATCTTCTATGTAGCGGATCACATCATCTGCAAATAGTGATAATTTAACTTCTTCCTTCCCTGGCCATATCCCTTTTGTTTCTTTCTCTTGTCTTACTGCTCTAGCTAATGTTTCAAGACCTATATTAAACAGAAGTGGTGGCAACTGATGTGCTTGTCTTGTTTCTGATTTTAGAAGGAAAGCTTTCTCCTTTGTCCATTTAATATGATGTTGGCCCTTTGTAGATGGCAGCTGATGGCTTTTATCAGGTTGAAGTGAAGACCTTCTATTCTTGTTTTGTTCATTGTTTAATCATGAATGGATGTTGGGTTTTTGTCAAATGCTTTTTTTGCATCTACTGAGATGGTCATATGATTTTTGTCCTTGCCTTTGTTTATCTGGTGTGTTACATTTATTGATTTGTGTATATTGATCTATCCCTGAATCTTTAGAATGGATCATACTTGGTCATAATGTGTGATCTTTTTGATGGTTTGGTGCATTCTGTTTGCCAGTATCTTATTGAGGATTTTTGTGTATGTGTTCATTAAAGAGATTGGCCTATAGTTTTCTTTTTTGTTTGGTTCCTTTTCTGGTTTTGGAATCAGAGTAACACACACTTCCAGGAATGACTTTGGGAGTACTGCTTACCTTTCAATTTCATTAACGAATTTGAGGAATACTGGTGTTAGATCTTCTCTGAAGTTAGAATTCAGCAGTGAATCCATCAGGACCCAGGCTTTTCTTAGTTGGCATTTTTTTCTTCAGTTTCACTCATTGATACTGGCTTATTCAGGCAATTTCTCAGTAGGTTTGGATTTTACTGTCGGATCTTTCCTGTGTCCCAGGGATCCACCTCATTCCATTTTTTCTTCTCAAAGTTGTTAATTTCCAGTGTCTGGAATCTGAATCTTGGAGAAGTGGATTTGTTGCTCCTTAGCACTCTGCCGTCTTCCCAGAAATTCTCTTTGTTGTGATTGTTGATGTTATTAATTTTATTATAGTCATAGCTTTAAGTGAGGAATTGCTGTCTGGCATTGAAAAAAAAAGATTTCTGGTATTTTCACAGTTTTGCAAAGTTTTGTGGAACTAATGGGTTTAATTGTATATATGCTTTGCTGTAGTCTGTTTTTACAGATTATTTTAGACCTGCTGTGGATAATGCCAGAATTCAAGTGCTAGATAGTAAAGTAACCAAGGGATGGGTTGTATAATTAGGATGTTAAGTAAATTCATTTTTAAAATACTTTATATATCAGCCACAAAGTAATAAAGGCAATCTTAACAACAGGTATTGTGTTTACAGTGAAGTGCAAAAGATTAATGATAATTTTCAGCATTTAAAATGCAAATGATTTTTGAACTTTTGTTTGCAGAAGTGATTGTGAACATAAATAGAACATTGTTGGCTGTAAAGAAGAAGCCACACACGAAAAATTGATGTGTGATAAAAAGATACAGTACAAGTTAAAAGCAACATTGCCATTAACACTACTCAAACTATTGCCTCTTGCTTTGAACAGTTCTGGAAGTCCTTTCTCCTGTCTTTACTGTACTGTCAGAACTGCCTCAATGCCTTGAATCAATTCAAAACATTTACTATTCATGGTCCTTCTGACTTTGGGTAAGAGCCAGAAGTTGCATGGTACCAGATTTGGTGAGTAAAGTGGAAGAGAACACATAATGTTTTTATGAGCCTGCCTTTCCACTGGATGGTACTTACCAGGAAGATTCATTATATTTTTGATCACATGTCATAAGGACATGAAAGAAGGAACTTCCAGAATTACTTCAGACAATTTCAAGACTGATGGGTAAAATTTGTTTGAAGTGAAGAGGAATATTCTGAGATGGGATTGATATCAATGTGCCTTTTACTGTAAAAAATACACATTTACTGTAGTTTTTGATCTGTGAGTGTATGATGTATATATAGATCCCAATCTCTTATTCACCACAAATATTTGGATTTTACTACTTTCCCTTCTATCTTGTTTTCTTACCACTGTGGATGGCTGGAGAGCTTAACTATGGATCTTCCTGAACTGCCTCTGTCTGACCTCGAAACCTGTAACTGTACCCTTTACATTTACGAGACTGCCTCTTTTTAAAACATTTGTTGTCTTTTAAGTGTTTCCTAATACTATATATTATATAGAATTTTTTCTTATATGAGAGTTTTGTTGGTAAGAATTTCCACTGTTTGTAATGAATAGAAACTATCATACAAGATCCTGGTATATATTAGATACCAGCTTGTCTTAGCTTTGTCATTTAATCTTCTGTGACTTTGGGCAGGTCTCTTAACCTCTGGGTTATTTTGTTATCTTGTAAATGAGGACAATCATTTCAATATAGAGTTGTTGAGTGAATGATATTTTATATCTAGCCTACTGATTTCAGTCATTGATAAGAGTTTTGTTTGCTTATTTGTTATTTTTTAAGGAGTTGTCTATATTTTAAATTTTAATTTTTTTCCCTTTAGATAACAGACAGGAGAATATCCAGAAGACATGCCATTCTTGAAGTGGTGGGTGGTCAGCTTCGAATCAAACCGGTAAATATGTTGTTTATAATTTATTTTAACTTTTTGGTTTTCACTCTGTTAGTACCTGATTAGAGATGCCTATTTTCTAAGGTTGTAGAAATAGGGAATTAATGTCAGATTGTGTCATTCTTATTGCTAGAAGATAATTGGGAGATAAAAAGATCTACACTATTAAACTATGTATTTTCTCATAGGGCAGAGCTACATTTATATAATTGGAATTTTAATGAAACATAACTGCCTGTTCATATATACATTATTATTTTGTTTGCAACTGGATATTTGATGTACAATTCTATAAGAAAGCTCATAATAATGTTTTTAGGGTGAGAACGGGATAGTGACTGAAGTCATGTCTATAATAAAGATTTGTGTTTTAACAGATTTCTGTACCTGTTTATGTAGAGTTCAAAAGTTCTAAAATTTAGAACTTGTTTAACTTCATCTAAATTTTTTTACAAAAAGTTTTAATTTGAAAGTTTCTGTTGAGGGCTAAGATATTAATTACTTGCTTTATAGTTTAAACACTGGTGATTTGTAGAGACAGCCAGTTTCTGAGAATATACTATGTGATTATACCCTTCCATGTTTAGAATCTCTTGTGCAGTAGAATAAACTGGATAGGAGGGTCCACTTATTTTTGTCTAAATGCTCTTGTTGTGAAAGTATTGTTATGAAACTAAATTCATTAATTTATAGCATTTTTAAGCCAATTTTAATTTTCATATCTTATGTACAACTTCTGGTTGTATGATTAGTTCTTTCTTTTTATATAGGTGTTAATAACTTCTTTTAATATGCTGTAAAAGTGTCTATTTAATTTTAATATGGGATAAATTTTGAATAGAGCTGAATTCACCCTGTTTCAATGCTGAACAGAACAAGATTTGTATCTCATTTTCATTCTACAGTGTCTTAGTCATAGAAAGGTGTTAATATGTTTAGTTAGTGCTCATCTCTTGGTTCTTTCAAACTATCTTATTGTTAGAAGAGACTCATCGAATCATAAGCTCCTTGAATATAGGCACTAGTTTTTGGATTCCCAGTAGGTAGCATAATGCTTGTCATGCAGTAGAAGCTTAATTAATGTTACTAAATGTGTGGATAAATGTTTCAGTGAGAACTGTATGAGGCATTTCTGAGAATAGGGACATCATCGGTGTTTTCAGAAGTGTGATATTTTCTAGTACTCAATTTCTAAAACCCTTCTAATGAATTACTGTGTTCTAAAATAAAGAAGCTTGTGTCACTAAAGCACATTCAGAAAAAGAATACAGGAATCTCTAAATTCCTATTGTACTGTTTCTGAAAGAACACATTAGTTTAGATTTAGCAGTTATGGCTAATAATATGCCTACCTTCTCAAGTGAAAGATCCATGACTTAATACTGACTTTCTGCATGATTTAGACTTACCTCTCCATAATTTGTGTTAATAAAAGGAAGAATTTATAGTGAGTACTTTATTTTTTCATGAGTAGATCTTTTGAAAAGTCCTTGATAATTGTATTTCTAGTTTTTTTTAATCAAAGATCTTTTGTTCTATGTAATTTTGATATCTTGTTTATATTATTATAGTTTCAGGAAAATACCCATTCCCTTATTTATTCAGTTTTATTATTTATTTAAAAATAACTTTAGACTTGCGTAAATCTTTTGTTCTATGTAATATTTGATATCTTGTTTATATTATTATAGTTTCAAGAAAATACCCATTCCCTTGATTATTTATTCAGTTTTTATTATTTATTTACAAAATTGACAGGTAACATCTATTAAAATGTCATATATTCCGCAGCCTGCCTCACAAGTACAAGGACCTGAGTTTGATCCCTGGTACCAAACAAAAAAAAAAAAAAGAAAAAAGAAAAAGTCATACAAAAGGGCATGGTCTCTTCTATAAGAAGAAAATATTAAACAATAACATTCAATTAAAGTAAAACTATGCTGTACAATAAAGACAGGAATTATATAAAGACAAAGCTGTTCAACTTTGGCAACACGGGCATAACATTTCACAAAATATCAGGAAGATATGCACCTAATGATAATCTGTTTAATCACCAATTTGTTTTATGGCCTAATAGTCATCTGACTTGCATAGATAAAGTAAATATTATTTATTTAATTATTTTAATATTATTATTATTATTATTTATTCATTTACTTTTTATAGCTAACCTTCATGGTATAATTTAGAGAAATCTTAAGAGTGACTTTGTTAATGGAAATTTTAAAATCTTGGAAATGTTGAGATGGACAAGTGACTAACCGTTCATTGATTTCACCTTTAATGTGTGTTATATATTGTTTATTCTGTACCCCTTAATCAGTCACAGATTCTGTGATATGCTAAAGCAAGTTATATATACCACTATGATAAAATATTGAGAGGGAAGTTTTTGTGAAAAAACTTTGTAAAATTATATAAATGAATATAGCAGATATTTTATTATGATTTATTCTGTATCGTGTATGTCCTAAAATATGTTTAAACTTTTTCCGCCTTCCTCCAGCTTGGAAATCCACACTTACTACCAAATAACACAGTTTTGACAATGATGTTGAATATAGTTAAGACAGTTACTAATTTGCACTTTTAAATTGGTTCGATTTCTGTCCCCCCCCCCAATATTTCTTCTTTAAAAATTGCCTTAGCAGTTCTTGGAAATAGTGCATGAGGAGATGATGTTAGCTTATTAAGAGATGATGTTAGCTTTTTCATATGTCATTTAAACTTAATCTTTAGTCTAATAGCAGTGGGGAAAATACATTATAAAGCAAACTGACTATATTACCCATGGGTAGTTATGTTCTCAGGGTGAATTTATAGCCATCGGTACTTTTATTTCATTTTAATAAAATCTTACTCATTTTGATTTTTGAATGATTTAGGAAATGGTTCTATTACAACATGTAAATAGCCATTTTTTTTTTGCCTTTGGTGTTGATCTTCAAAATGTTCATCTTTGTATTGTTTCTTTCACAAAATTCTTGAGTTGTGATTTTTTTCTATAAAGTTATGCATAAACATATAATATCTGTAAAAACCTATAATAGCCTTTCCTCAATTCATTTGGTAAAAAAAAAAAATTAAAAATGTTTTCTAGATTAAAGCAAAAACCCACTGAAAATAAAGGAGCCTCTTTTTTTGGGTATTCATCAATCTTTCTTTAATATTTAATGGCAACTCAAAGAGAAAGCTATAGAAAATTGATTTATGTTTTGGTTCCAGTTCTTCTAGTTTAATGCATCCTTTGCATTACCTCTTAAATTATAGCATTATCTATTTAAGTTTACATTTATAATCTCTCAGATACTTTAAAAGGCACGCATCAACAATATGTCTCTCATACAGGCCATATATATATATATATTTTTTTTTCCTCATTGAGTTTATTGGTACATTCTAGGTATACAGTACACATTCATTATTGGGATCTTGCACCTTTACATGACAGGTCTTGGTTCTCATTTTTCCCCTTGTCCCTGCCCTCCCTTACCCCCTCCCCCCCTACCCATTTACAAACATTTTGTTACCATTTTTCATTTTCTCCTATTTTTTTCCTTTCCCTTATTACCTTTCCCCTACCCTTCCCGTTTTCCCTACACCTTTATTTACCATGGGTTTGGGTTGGCAAGTATTTTGTCTGCCTTTGTCTTCTTTCAGAATCAAAGTTGAACTCATTTTACTAAACAAATGGGACATTGTACTATCTCTTTTGGTCTCTGGAAGTCTTTAAATATTGAGAAATATCTTTAAATACACTTGGTTCTGGTTTTGGGAAGGGTCTGGGAAGATTTTTAGTTATTGAGTGCATTTTAAAATATTATCAGTCTGGTTAAATATATTTTTTCCTTTTATAATTAAATACTTTTATGCAAACCACACATGTATATACGAACATGCTCTTATTTGTTTTAATAAGTTGGTATGTATTCTTTAAGGTATTGTCAGTTTTGGCCTTGTTAACAAATGTATTGATATAAAATATTTATAGTATTATTTTTTTAAAGTGTGTTATGCATAATATTTTTCTCATTCCTATTTTTATGTTTTTTCTTTTTAATTATTAATATTACTAGATTTTCCCTACTTTACAACTGTTTTAGACTTAATGTATATGTGGCATTTTTATTGGTATATTTGTAGTTTGACATAGATTTTTAAAAACTTATTTATTGAATAATATGTACTTAGGTAAGTCAAAGGTTCAAATATTAAACTTTCTTGAAATTTCAGTTTTATTTTTACTTCTGGGATCTCCTGTCCAAACAGTAAAAGGAAAAGGAAAAGATCATTAGAGAACATTGGTTCTCTTTGTGTGGCTAGATTTGTTAACTACTTTAATATAATATAGTATGTATTTAGCCATATATACTTTAAATATTAAATGTTTTTTGTCTGGGGGAAAAATAGTCAAACTGAATGTTCTTTTTGTCTTTGGGTTTGCGATGACTTTGTAAACAAATGGGGTTTCCTTTCTTAAGTATTTTACCTTTTCTACTGTTACAATTATGACTTTGTATTTAGTTAATTTCCTACTCAATAAGTTTGATGGTCAATATTTAATGTTACTGAGAGTCAATGAATGTTTGAGATACTCATGTCTAATAATTTGGTCTTATTTTAGCTTATAATAAGAAGCAAACCTCATGTAAAGACTACTCAAAATCCAGTCAGAAAGCACGTATATTGTTTTGATTTTTGTCTCATCCATGAACCTAACATGCCAGGCTCTGCCGACCATGACACACTCAAGAAGAGGGAGCCTTTGCTTAATAGGATGAGGAGTAATGAGGAAAGATTCCCAAATAAGCAGTTTGCATGAGCTCAGAACCAGCTGATGTGTAAGGTCCTTGTTGCAGTCAAAAGCTATGAGCCAAAGGACCACTCTAAGTGAGGAGTAGCTGCTTACACAATGATGGGTTTCTAAACATTAAGTTTAAATTATAACTTGATTCTTAAAAATCAAACATTTGTAGCTGTTAGAAATACAGTTTTGCATAAATCACCCTTCATCTCCATTCTAAAGCAGTCTTGTATATACCTACCCGTGTTTTATAAAATGACTCTGACCAGTAAAATAATGGTCTACCAAATTTGTATGGCCCGTTTTTCCTTTTTATGTCTTTTATTTTCATGCTTTATCTTACTGCTTTCTTGTTGCAGATTTAAAGTATAGTGTGTTGTCTCCAGAAAAAGTCTCATTTAAACTGATGAACTAGAAGGAAGACTGGCAGGGGAAGTTGCTCTATGTTTGCTTGTATTAAAAAATGAAAACACGTGTTCCTGTAGTTTGCTTTGTCATATGCTAAAGCTTATTTGTTTAAAAAACCCAGTGATACTGATGAGAAAAAGCTATTTGACCTACGGAAATAGCCAATTTCAGATTAATTCTATTTGGGATTTTTAAAAAATTGAATTTATTGGTACATTTTAGGTATACAGTACAGTTACATTCATCATTGGGATCTTGTACCTTTACATGACAGGTCTTGATTTTCATTTTTTCCCCTTGTCCCTGCCCTCCCTTCACCCCTTCCTCCCCTCCCCATTTACAAACACTTTATTTCCATTTTTTCATATTTTTTTCTTTTCCCTTATTACCTTTCCCCTATCCTTCCCACTTTCCCCACACCTTTAGCCCCTTTCTTCCTATTTCACACTGTCAATTATCTCATTAGGCTCTTATGTACTATTATAGCTTTTCACACCAGAGAAACTATTCAGTATTTACACATGTGTGACTTATTTATTTCACTTAGGAGTATATCCTCAATATGTATCCATTTACTTATGAATGAATCTAATTTCTCATTCTTTATGGCTGAGTAGTATTCCATTTAATAGAAAAACCACATCTTCTTTATCCACTTTCCAACGGATGGGCAAAGGGGCTGTTTCCAAGTTTTAGCTATTACAAACTGCCACTATAAACATAGGTGCGCATATATCACTATGGTATGATTCTTTTAATTCTTTTGGAAAGATACCCAGCAGAGAGATGACAGGGTCAAATGGAACCTCTAGTCCCAGCTCTTTGAGATATCTCCATATTGATTTCCATAGTGGTTGCACCAGTCTGCACTCTCAGCAACAATGGAGAAGGGTTCCTTTCGCCTCTATTTGTGATTTTTAAAGTGCTTATCAGTGGGTCCTTTTTTTTTCCTGAGGCAACTCTCATTATCTTGGTTAACATGGGAACAATCAATGGCAAACATAATTCACAATAGTAGATATGGTAATAGCTTTGACTGGTATACATTTATTACTTGTGATTTGAATAGGAATGATCTTCATAATAAGAGTACATGCAAGATTTCTAGGGAACTAGAAAGAAGCTAAAAAGTATCCCTTATAATTTCTCATTTTAAAACTGTATTAACAATTTATATTCCTTATCTTCCAATGTTTAGATCTCTGAGCAAAATAGAAGAATCTTTTAATCAGTTAATTGATAACTTTGCTTTTTTCTTCAATTCTTGGAGAAGTTAGAAGAACAGCTCTTTCCCTCATGAATAAATAATTATGATACTTATAGCTACCATCTATTAAACTGTTAAGTGTGTTTAAATATAAATTATTCTGATACTAAAATTCTGGATTAGTTCAAATATAGTTGTATTTTTTATCATCATGAAGTTATAATATCACTGTATTCTTTTTTATTTGTTAGATACACACCAATCCATGTTTTTATCGTTCTTCTGAGAACAGCCAACTCTTACCAATGAAGACAAATCTTTGGCACTGGTTAAATCCTGGAGATAGTTTTTCTTTGTTAGTTGACAAACATATTTTCTGTGTTGTGTCGACACACTCTGAAATGGAAATAGAGTGTACCTTAAGGTAAGGTTGCCTGGTAAAATGAGGTAATAATGATAAATAACATTTGTAATCTGATGCCTTAGCATTACAAGTGCTTTGATAGAAGCAATTCTATAATTAAAATGTATTTGGAGCACTAGTAGCTATATAATTGGTATGTGCATGTTTGATTGTGTGTGTGTGTATTCACCTGTGTGTTTCCAGAAAGCCATTTGACTTTGAAAACTTGTAATGCTTGAATAGTTCTAATATATGTTATTTTTTACATTTATGTTTTCTATCCAAGATAGAAACCAGGGAGGTAACCAGGGTAATTAATTTGAAATTTACTACATCTTCCTTATTTTTCAAAACCTTTAAAAATTTTAGTAAGATACTATTAACCTCTGACTTAGACCACATTTATATAACTATTTTTATAAAAATAACAGAAAGTATAGCATTGGAAATCTGAGGAAAATAATAAGCATATTGATTCTAGTGAAAAGTAAAAATGCACACAATAGATTTTTGAGCCAGTCATTGAAAGATTATTTGGGAGAGATTCAACATGGCTTAAATGGAGGAGGAACCATGTTGGAGCTACTCAGAGAAAGTCAACTTAAAACAAGTAAAGTGGACCTTCGAGTTATGATTGGCCTGACATACGAACAACTTCAGTTATGACAGGACTTTTGGTTTTAATTTATGACCAACGTCTTGAGTTATAACCTGAATGCTGGCCACTTGTGCTTCCGGATCATCTCAGATACAGATTTAACTCTAAAAGAGTTCTGAAAGGAACATTACAACATCCTTTCCTGTGTGGGGTTAATTGAGAAATCCTGGGCCAGTGTCTCTCTAAGGACATTGAGATCTGGCTGTATGCAGGAGAGAGACTTTGAAGGCTGGGTAGAGGAGCCTGAGCCTTCAATTGACAACTTGAGTTACAACCAGTCCTTGGGAATGAATTGAGTCCATAAGTCAAGGATCCACTGTAGTTGGAAGAAAGTGGGGGAGGCAAACATCCTGGTGCCAAAATCAATCTGAAATAAGAGACTTATAGCTCAAGCAAATCATAGGTTTTTAACTTTATAAAATGGCAAACCAGCCCACAGGGCTGTCAGTGGCACCGCCACTGGCGTGCAGAATAGGAACCATATTTCTGGGAAGTTCCCTTAAAAAGCTGATGGACTGAAAAGGTGTGTTAAACTCATTCCACTCAGGATAGATCTGGGATATAAGGCCCCTTGCTTTTTTTGCCTTCCTGAAAACAGAGGATGCAACAAATGGCAGCCCCACAATAAGTTTTGCTGGCACACGCAAGGGTGAGTGACTAGAAAGCTGCACTTTCAAGAAGTCCAAGAGAAAGAAATAAAGGAATAAAGATAGGAAAGGAAATTTAAATTATCATTATTTGTGGATTACATGATACTTTACATAGAAGACCCCAAAAACTCCACCAGAAGACTTCCAGATTTGATAAGCAAAAATGGTCACATAGCTGAATACAAAGGCAACACTCAAAAATCAATAACATTCCTGTTTACAAACAGTAAACTTACTGAGAGAAAAAGTAGGGAAACCAGACCTCGCCTTTTAAAATAACATTGAAAAAAATGAAATACTTAGGAATCAGTTAAACAAAGGAAGGAAAACATCTTTATTTTGAAAGCTGCAGTATTCTGAAAAAAGGAGATTGAAGAGGATATTAGAAAGTGGAATGATAACCTCTGCTCATGGGTAGGAAGACCCAACATAGTTAAAATGACCATACTCCTAAAATTGTTATATAGATTTAATGCAACTCCAATTAAAAAAGGCCAATAGAATACTATTTCTCAAAGAACTAGAGAAAACAATCCTAAAATTCACTGGGAACCAGAAGAAACCTAGAATGGCAAAAAAAAATTCCAGGCAACAAAGGCAAGGCAGGAGGCATTGTCGTCCCTGACTTGATATTATACAACAGAGCTACTGTGATTAAAAACAGCATGGTACTAAAACCAAACCAAAACAAAACAAAAAAACAGATCTGAGGGTCAGTAGAATAGATTAGAAGATGCAGGAACAACTCCAAACACATTCAGCCACTTTATCTTTGATAAAGGGGCCAAACACCTTCACTGGAAGAAAGATAGCCTCTATAATAGATGGTGCTGGAAAAACTGGCTTTCCCCATGCTGAAGACTAAAACTAGACCCATGTCTCTCACTATACACTAAACTAGTATAAAAATGGGTCAAAGATCTAAATATTAAAACAGACTCTATATCTGCTGGAAGATGGGATAGGTAGAACTCTTGAAGTCATAGGTGTGTAGGCAAAGACTTTATGAGCAAAACCTTGATTGCATGGGAAATATTACAAAGAATCAACAACTGGAATCTCACTTTATTAAAAAGCTTTTGTGCAGCAAAAGAAATCACCAGTAGAGTGAAAAGACAACCAACAGTGTGGGAAAAAATTTTTGCAAACTGTCCTTCAGACAAAAGACTAATCATATCTAGACTACGTAATGAAGTGGAAAAAATCCCCCCCCCAATTTAAAGATCCAATCCAAAAATGGGCATCTGCGATGAATATATACTTCTCAGATGAAGATGTACAAATGCAAATAAAGTGTTCAACATCACTGGTCATCTGAGAGTTGGAAATTGAAACAACACTCACATTCCATCTCATGAAAGAATGGCTGTTATCAAGAAAACCAACATGCTGGCAGGACTGTGGGGAAAAAGGATCCCTTCTCTACTTTTGGTGGGAACATAGACTGGTGCAACTGTTGTGGAATCAGTATGGGGATTCCTCCAAAACTAGAGGTTCTATTTGACCCAGCTCCCTCTTGTTGGTATCTTCCCTCAAGAATTAAAAGCATTATATCACAGCAATATGTGCACATCCATGTTCATAACAGCACAGTTTGTAATAGCTAAATCTTGGAAACAGCCCAAATGTCCATCAACTGATGAATGGATAAGATGTTTATTTGTTTTTTTTATAATATACAGTGCAGTATTAGCCATAAAGAAGGGTAAACTTGGGAAATTTATTAGTAAATGGATGCACCTTGAGATCATACTCTTTAAATAAATTGGACACGTGTAAATATTGCATTGTTTCTCTGGTGTGAGAAACTGAAAATGTAAATAAGGGCCAAAATGTATAATATGTTGTAAAAAAGGAAGAAAATGTTCAAATGAGAAAAAGCACTAGGGAGTGGGAAGGGGGAAAGCAAGGAAGGGAAAAGAAAAGACAATCAAACACAAAACTACCTTAAAATGGAAACAGAGCTTTTGTAAATAAGAAGAAAACTAATTAAAAACATTAAAACAATCATTGAATTTACTGAAGATAAAATAGATAAAATATTGGAAGTCATAGGTATAGGAAAGGGCTCTTTTTTTTTTTTTTTTTTTTTTTGGTACCAGGGATCAAACTTGGGACCTTGTGCTTGCGAGGCTGGTGGTGGCACCACTGAGCTAAATCCCAGGCTCAGTAAGGACTTTCTAAACAGAACCATAATTGCGCAAGAATCAACAAATGGAATTAATCAACAGTAACTGCTAATTTTGAACAAAACAGTAAGATGTTGATGGAAATACCATTGTATGGCAATAAAGAACTTTAAAATTCATCTATAAATATTTTAAAACTTATTTTTAAACCTAGTTCATTATAATTAGTATCATATTTTATATTAAAGTTATACATATTTAGAATATACAAAAAGACAATGAGATACCACTTCATATCTACTAGAATGGCTATAATATAAAAGATACTATGAAGTGTGGAAAGGAAACTGGAACTCATATATCATGATGTTACTGTAAAGTGGTATAGCTTCCTTGGGATATATTCTGATAGTTCTTAGAATTTTAAACATACAATAACTATGTGGCTCAGCAATTTCCCTCCTAGCTTTATACCCAAAAGATTAAAAATATCTGTCTACCCCCCAAATATTTTTTATTAGTACATGATTAATTAGTAAAATTTATTAAATTTATTAGTACAATGATTAAATTAATTGTAGGGGGTTTGTACATGTACAAAACACATCTTAATTCTTTTTTGTCCCCTTAATCTCCCATCCCTCCTTAAGCTCTATTTTTATTTATTCTTCAAGTCTTTCAGTCCGATTTCCCTTCCTTCTCCTTCCCCTCTTTCCCATTTGAAAAAGATCTTCGTACTTCCTATTTATTTTTTATTTATATTTTGGGTTTCTCATATAAGAGAAACCATGTAATATTTAAACCGTGTACCTGATTTATTTCACTTAACATTATGATCTTGAGTTGCAAACCCTTATAGAAGTATCTTCACAACATTATTCATAATAGCCAGAAAAATGGACACAACCCAAATGTCCATCAGCTGCTGAATGGGTAATCAAATATGAATGAATATTCATAGAATGTAATATGATTCCTAAATTTAAGTCTGCCTTTGAAGGAGATTATTGTTTATCTAAGAAATATTAAAACAAAACAAGACACTAACTAGACTCCTTTCAGCTAGACACATTTCTAAAATCTTACATCCTCAATATCTTAAAAATTCACATTTATTAAGGAACAGTTTACACATAGAATTGATCCTTTTTATTTGTACAGTTCAGTGCTGTCTGACAAACATATATAGCCATATTAAGTACCAGCACAATGAGATACAGAACATTTCCATTCCCCATAAAAGTTCCCTCATGCTTCTTCATAGTACCTTCACCCCCAGTCCTCTGGAGATTACTGTCTGATTTCTGTCCTTGTAGCTTACCATTTTTAGGATATCATTTAAACTGAAGTATACAACATGCCTATTTATGATGACCCAGCATCTTTGGATGATCCTGTTGCATTTGTCTGAGAGTATGAGATAATTGGTTATGAGAGTATGTTTCACATGTAACCAAGGATGCTCTCATGTCAGAACATTTTGCTTCTAGTTGAACTACATTTGAAATTTCACAAGTGGCAGTACTGATCAGAATTCTGGTAGCAGCTATGTATAAACTTGATATTAGGATTTTAATTTGTTTTCTCCAAGGACCCAACTAGCTTAGTTAATGCTCTTACATTTACACTTTTTCTTCAGATACGGAGTTGTGATCTGGGTAAATAAGCAAATAGCTCTTAAGCCCTAAGAGGCAAGGCATCTCTTGCAAACTGTTGTGGTTTCTATGCCCATGATTTGGAAAGATTTATGTATTTTATGGTGATATGTGGCAGAAGATGAGGAATACATTTTAGTGTACATATTGTATTATATTATCATCTGATTTTTAATTTTTGCTAAGTTTGAGAAAAGGAGCACAATTCCCCGGGCAGATATACTCAGAATGACATTTACAGTAACTTGGTTGCCAGCAGAAGTGATATAAATGATAAAAAAACTTTTATTTTATAGAAACAGTCAAATGCTTGATGAAGATGACATATTGAATGAAGCACCCAAATCTCCCGTGATTAACTTACTTGATAAGACAACTGGTACCCCACATCTGGAAAAGACTACAGATATAACTGAGACTCAGACTACTAGCACAAGTAGTATGGTGAGAAATGTAAGATCTCATCCACTTGTAACATATTCTTCAAGTTTTGTTTTTCTCTTTTAGATAGGGTCTCACTATGTAGTCCAGGCTGGCCTTGAGCTCATGGCGATCCTTCTGCGTCTGCCTCCTGAATGCTGGGATTACAGGTGTATGCCACCATTCCTGGCTCTTCAGGTTATTTTGAAGAGAAAAGACAAATGAAATTAGACACATCAAATAACATTGCTAGGATTGATCTGCTTTTGCTGTTTTAAAGTTAACCTATAGAGAAGATCGCAGTGGGCCAACACCTCAATTAATATAGATAAATTTCTGTAAGAGATATAAGTAATTAAATTCGTAGTTGGAAATGGATATTTTAGTGATAGGTTTCTGCACAGTAAATAATTTTACAACTTCATTAAGAATGTATAGTTATCCTTAGGGATTAATTTATTTATATGTGCCTTTTTAGTCCCCTGTAGGTGAATGCAGAGGCTTGAGTAAACAGCAGTCACACACTGCCCAGAGGAAAAGAATCCTTCCAGCTTGGATGTTAGAAGATTTAAGTGATCAAAACCTTTTAGATCCTGTCATTTGTGGAGGTGGGTTTTTGTTTCTGTTAATGTTGACTTTTCAGGAAAGCAAGCAGAGCTAGACAGTTTTCTTGAATAAATAGACTAGTGGTTGTATACGGTATAGCTTACTCTAACAATGTGTATTGTAGTCTAATTTAAAATATGTTTTTGTGCTATGTCATTTATCAGACACCATTGTGCTGATTGTTTTTTCCATTTAATAAGCACTATTATCTTCAGATAATGAGATGTATTAATACAGATTTTCAACCAATTCTGTTTTTGTCATGTCTAAAAGGCCAGCACAGTGAAGTAATTCAAATTAATTCAATTCACTTAAAAGAATGACACACGCAATGTTTGTGCTGGGAGAGTCCAAGAAAATGTGACCTCTGTCCTGTTATAGTTCACTGTCCTGGTAGATTTCACAGTGATTTTATAATTTCTGCTAGAAGGCCCATTTATTCAGAAATTTTAAACTTGTTTACTAATCATCTTATTTAGGCAAAATTTTATTTTATTGGGTAGTAACAAATTACTGAGGTTAGTTTAATTAAAGAAGACCTCATGAGGTTAGTTGATACACTTCTTCAAATCCAAGTATGAAGTGGGATCTAAATATATGAATTTTTAAATTAAAAAAATTATATTGAAGTAAAAAACACATTGCTAGTAGTCCCCCTCAGAAATCTTCCCCCTCACTTTAAGCACATCTTCCCCATCATTCTTGCCATTTTCGGAAGCAGTTCTGGGAGTTCTTTCTTTCTCTAGATACATGTTTACTCTTCTGTTTCTCTCTCTCTCTCTGAAGCAGGGACTGGTGGCTTCTGTTTGCCTATGTCTTTGCACAGGGCTTTGACTTCCCTAAATTCTGACAATGGCCTAACTTTTTTCTCTTAAGCTTTTGCTGCCAAATTGTTACTGGATAGCTCTGTCTCTCAATTCTAAATTAGAAGTAGCAGATCTGTTTGGCCTAATTTAAATCAGGTCTCACCAGGTTTAGTTTTTTTGTTTTTTTTAAGGTGATGGTCAGAAAAGAAATAAAGGTTACCTTATAAATATGCAGAAGTTAACAAAACCTACATAAGTATTTAAACATTTTTTTCAGTTCTGCTCTATAAAATTTAATTATTTAAATTTAGTTTTAATTGAAAAAATACTGTAATAATTATATACATTTCTGGGGTATAATGTCATGTTTTATTCTATGTATACATTGTAGAAAGATTCAGTCAAGATAACATATCCACCACCTCATCAACTTATCATTTTTGTGGAGAGAGTATTAAAAATCTATTCTTTTAGCAATTTTGAAATATATGTACCTTATTACCATAGTTACCAAGCAGTGATCATTAAAACTTATTCCTCCAGTTTAACAGAAACTTTGTGCTTTTTGATTAATATTTTCTCTTTTTTCCTCTTTGGCCTCTTGGAACTATCTTTTTTCACTCTGAAGGAGATCAACTTTTTAGATTTTACATGTAAGATTAAGATTAACAGGCACACTGCATTTCTAATTACAAATATTTTGTACTATTTGATTTTGTCCCAATAGTATTAAATCTCTTCATTCTCTTTTCATCTTTACTCTTCTAGTTTTCTCTCCTTTTGGATAATTTTTATTGACATGCTTTCAAGTTTACTAATTCTTTTTTTTTCCAGCTTTAATTGAGTTTATTGGTACATTTTAGGGATACAGTACAGTTACATTCCTTGTTGGGATCTTGTACCTCTACATGACAAGTCTTGATTCTCATTTTTTCCCCTTACCCCTGCCCTCCCTACTAATTCTTTTTTCTGCTATTACTGTTAAGGCTATCTAGTGAATATTTTACAGTATTTCAGTTGTACTTTTCAGTTCTGAAATTATGTTTTCTTTTTTAATAATATCTCTGTAATGAGCTTCTCCATTTATGAAATAATTAATAATTGTGTTAAAATATGTGTCTATGTGCCACTTTTCAGTTATCTCAGTAAATTTCTTTTAACTTCTTGGTTTACTTTATATGGACCACTTTTTTGTTGTTTTTTGAGATAAGGTCTGAATTTGTATTTTAAACTGGCCCTGAACTTACCTAGTAGCCCAGGCTGGCCTCGAACTCATGGCAGTCCTCCTGCCTCAGCTCCTGAGTGATGGGATTACAAGTGTCTGCCACCACATCTGGCTCACATTTTTTTGTATATTCTGTATCTAGTGATTTTCTATTGAATATTGGATGTTACACATGATATATTGTAGATGCCCTTGATTTTCTCTGAAGAAATATTTTTATTCTAACAGATAATTAACTTCATTGAATAGTTTAATTAATTTAATGAAACCTTAATCTCTGTTTCCTCTGTCGTATGCAGCAGCTACAGTCTCAACTTAGTTCTTTCTATTTATAGCTGTGGCTTTTTTTCCCTGTGTTTCTGATGTTTCCTTTATAAGCATGTAGTTTTGCAGTCAGCCGAGGATTTGTGTTGTTTTATATGTAGGTTTTGGTTCTTGCTGTATTTCACAATTTTATCTCTAATGTTTGTCTGTTCTGCTATCCTTGAACCCTGTCCTCTGACCATTTAAGCTGGTAAAGCTGTAGCTTTCTTTCTTTTTTTGTGGTACCAGGGATCGAACTTGGGACCTTGTGCTTGCAAGGCAAGCGGCAGCACCACTAAGCTAAATCCCCAGCCCAAGCTGTAGTTTTCTGCCATCTGTACATAGAGGGTAGCTTCAGGAAAACAATTACAAATTTACAAAACCTCACAGCTTATACTTCATTTTTCAAGCTTAAGCTTTTCTCCACCTCTGTCTTTTTGTTCATTCTTGAGTGTCTTCAAATACCTGTTTTTCAGATATGTTGTCCTGAATTTATAATGGAATGATTATAGCAGTGAAGACATTTGACCATTATGCTAAACATCACATTTTATAAATAGTCAAAAGGAATGCAGTTCAGTTGGAATGTCATTATCTTTATTGATTCTTATATTATAATTCACCTGAACTTTTGATCAAATATATTATGTACAGAATATACCTTTTAAATGCTAGTTTGGATGATAGTAGGATCAAAGTGTTGTAAAAGTAGGTTATACATTATGTGGTAAAGGGAATATGGCTTAATTTAGAGAATTTTCAAGTAGAAACCTAAGAGGGGATTATTTAGCATAAATTAACAGATTTATCTAGCTAAAAATGAAAAAAAATATTTGCATGCAAAGGACACTTTCAAGTAACTGGAAAACAATATACTGAGGGATATTACTGTCGCTTAGAAAAGATTAAAGATTTTTAAAAATTGTGTACTTAGTAACAAAAAATACTATGCTCAGTAAAAGTTTTGCATATTGTAGGTAATATGTTAGAGAGGAGAAAATACAAATAGTTAAAAAATTCATGGCTCTGTTATTACCTAGGAATGTTTAAATTGAAAGAACCAGTTACCATTTTTTGTTTGTTAACTCACAAAACTTAAGCAGTTGATAAAATCTAGTCCTGACAGAAATGGGTATTATTGAATATTGTTCGTAGAAGTATGAGCATAGTCTTTTAAAGCTGTAAGAATCTCTTAAAAATATTTTAATATAACAGCATTTTCACCCATAAATTATAGTTGTATGTATCACTCAGAAAGAATAGCATTTGTATTTTTTATTTCTATATATGTTTAATATACCTACTGGTAAATATATTTGCTTAAACTTAGGAAAAAGTTGAGAAGGATGCATATCACATTGTTAGGTAGTTTCTCTGGAGAATTATGATTGGATGAGTATACTGTATTTTAACAATGTTTATACATATAATTAAGCTATTATTCTTCAGATCACAGGTATCACTTGTATCATAGCCGCTCCTATAAGTGCAAGTGGTAATAGTTACAAATAAATTGTTATATATTATGAGTTAATTTCTTTTATATTTGTCATTTAATTGTACTTATGCTGGATTTAGAAAAAAATTGATATCCCAGATATAAAGATTTTGAGCCAATTAAGCTATTTATCTTATATACACTTTGTGAAGAACACTTTACCAATATAAAAATGGTTTCTTTCTGTGTTAAAAAAATTACCTTTGGTCCTTAAAAGAAATATTTATAGTAGATAATTTGGAGTTTTGAATAATTGACTACTCCCAAAACCTATATTTAACTTTGGTTGTTTTGTACATATGTGACACTTGGAATGTGATAAAGTACCATTTGGGAGAAGCTGTGTATTATTTAATTTATATTTTATACTTCTCAGCATCATAACTGATACTAGTATTTCATAATTTCTCTGGGTTTGATTAATTCATAACTGGTTGTTACATTTGGTCATTTGTTGCATTGAGGTGTCCAGTCCTATTAATCCTATTCCTGCCAGTTTCCAAAAATGATATGAAATGGTTCCTAATTTAGATTCACAATGAATATTTAAATAATTTAGGCAAAGTTTAATTATTAGAATAGTTTATTCATGTTTGTTTTGATAAATACAATAGTTCCCTTGTATGTACAGGGACTATTTCAAGACCCCAGTGTTTGCCTTTGACTGCAGATAGTACCAAACCCTATATATAATATTTATCTTGTGTATACATACATACACTCCTGTATGGTAAAGTTTAGTTTATAAGTTAGGCACAGTAAGGGATTAGCAACAATAACTATTACTAGAACAATTACTATGTAATAAAAGTCATGTGAATGTGATCTCTCTCTCAAAATATGTTACATTGCACTTTTTCACCTAAAGGAAGCACTTTGTGGCTTCTTTTTGGCATATCTAAGGTGCTAGCACTACTGTTCTTGTGCTTTGAGGCCATTATTAAGTACAGTAAGGCTTATTTGAACACAGACTTTGTGATACCACAATTGATCTGATAATTAGGAGAGCTATTAAGTGACTAATAGTATACAGTGAAGATACTCTGGACAAAGGGATAATTCATATTCATGTTGGAGGTGTGGAGTGGTACAAGATTTTATCATGCTACTCAGAACAGCATGCAATTTAAAATGTATGAATTATTTATTTTTTGAATTTTCCACAATTGACTGTGGGTAAGTGAAACTGGAAGTGAAATTGTGGATAGAGGGAGAGTGCTGTATTCTTTTTATATTGATTCAATTTATTATTCCTGTTTGATAATATGAACAGTATACCACTGGCACTTGTTTCTTGAATGTAAAGAAGGATTATTATTTGAGGCCACTTGAATATCTTCTGGAACAAGCTAAGCAAACTAGGACCAAATTTGTCCACTGCCAACTTTTGTGAATAAAGCTTTGTTGGAGCACAGCCATGGTCATCCATTTATGCTTTGTTAGTGGCTCCTCTCACATTGCAAAGAAGAGTTGGGTAGTTCTGGCAGATGCTATACTGCCCATAGATCCTAAAATATATACTCTTTTTTTCCCAGAAAAAGTTTGCTAACCCCTACTAAAGAACATTAAAATATATATGTGTTCAAGGAATTGTTTGGACAAAGTCTGTTGATATTCACAATTCATTTACTCACGAGTATTGAACACCAGTTTTGTACTAGGCAAATTTGTAGATATTGAAGATATAGGAGAAAATAATGAACAAGGTACATAAAATCTTTCTTCTCATGATGGTATTGTTTTAGTGTAGCAGAGACAACCAGCTATGAATATTTTCCTCTTCAAACAAGTAGATCTTTTTTCCTGATGATATGATTCACTAAATTGTTAACAAAATATGATGCTGCCAGATTTACCAACTGCACTGAACTTTGTATAAGTATAGATGATGTAATGTCCATTGTTATCAAGGCTAATTTTCTTCAGCAAAATCTGTAGAGGTCATCCTCTTTTTTTTGGTTACTTTGGCTTCTTATCTGTATTTGAAATTACTTAAGTTGGATTTCTCAGTTTGCTTTTTAGGGGCTCAATAAATACGAATATCCATAAAGTATATTGGGTTGCTCGGTGTCAGTTTTTTTCAGAGAAATTTAATACTACAATTAAAAAATTGTAACATGTCATTCTATTAGTTTGTATACCTTATCTCATTTATTTGTCCTAATATTTCCATGGGTTATTATTAGATTTCCTATTTTGTAGAACAAACCACCAGAATTTAGTAAGAGATAAAACAGTTAAGATATTAACTCCCATTGATATTTTGGCCTGGTAAATTGAAGCTTTTGGTGTTTGTGCTGTTTAGTGCTTTTTGAGATTTGCAAATAAGTATTTTCAAGTTGGCATTACTATAAGTAAAACTTTATTTTACTTGTTCTTTTATTTTTGGTATGGAACATTAGCATTTGAAGATACAGGAGTTAATTTCCTTTTTCTTCATATCTGTGTGTGTTTGCATGTGTTTAAGATAACAGCATAATCCAGGGAAGTCGAAAAGAAGGAATCTGCAAAGAAAAAACCTACATAAATGTAACACAAAAGGGAAGAAAGCGAATTTCATCAGGAAATTCAGAAAGTGTATCAGGAGGACAAAATGCAGGAAAAAAGTGCAAAGATACTGATCAAGAAGAGTCTGTCATTTTATGCAAGGTGATTTTTACAAAGTTTGTCACTTGATTGTTTTATCAAATTTCTAGATAGGAATTATATATTGTATATATGTCAAGAAGACCAAAACTGTTTTTTTTGTCTGTTTGTTAATGAGTTTATAAAGACTAAAACTAGTTTACAGAAACTAATTCTTAGTATATGGATTAGTACTTGCATTGCAGAAAACAAAGCCATTAAATTTAGAAATTTTCAGACTGAAAAATAGATGGATATCTCTTTGCTTTTGTTATAATCTGTCACCTTTATTCTGGAAAGTTTTTTTTTGGCACTGAGTTTCGAACTCAGGACCTTGTGCTTGCAAGGTAGACAGCGGAACCGCTAAGCTAAATCTCTGGCCCTGTCACCTTTATTCTGAAAACCTGACTGCTTCTGTCCCATTGGTCATTTGTGGACTCGCATAACCATCTTTTTCTTGCTAAGTATGAAGAGAACAAATGAGGGAGTAGTTCTTAACAATTGGTTGCAGGATCATTTCTGCAATGATCCTAACAGTATTAATAGACGGTTCCTTTCTTTTTTCAGGTTCTACTAATTTACTAGAATGATTTGGTTAAATTGGTTTTCCACGGCATTTGATATTTAAAGAAAATGAGACCTATTTATTGGATGCAGTTTTGAAAATAAAGGATAGGGCTAGGGATTTAACTCAGTGATGCCTCCGCCTGCCTCAAGTGGCAAGGTCATGAGTTCAATCTCTGGTACCAAAAAAAACAAAAAACAAAAAAACCCCCACAAAACTGGCCTCAGAGTTGGAAAATTCAGGCATTTTTCTTCTCTGCAGAAAGGTGGTTTAAGGTGACAGTTTTCGTGACCCTTGTAGATCAGTGGCTGAGTTTTGTAAGGTCCCTGTCCTTTTAGTTTTAGGAAGTGTCAAAGGCGTAGAGTGTTGGTCTTGGAAAAGCATATGTGGGAATACTGGACACATGTGCGTGGCCATGTGAGTGGTCATTCCTTTTGTATACCACCTTCACTTCTGCCTCTCCCCCAGAGAGATGAACTAGCCTCTCAGTGAGACCACTCTTCCAGCTGGAGAAGTGAGCCGTCCTTATAGACTGAACTCCTTTGCTTACTTATGGAGTCATGTTTAATAAAGTAAAACAACGTATTCTGGTTTATGAATATTTACCATAAAACTTACTAAAATAAACCTTGTCTTACATAAATATTGGGCCTTCATATACTCACTGAATTCTGAACATATCTATTGATGCTGCCTTTTCTTGAGAAGACAAATTATTTTGTTCAGAAGAAACTCTTTAGCATACATGTTTTACTATGTTTATCCCAACTCATAAAATTTGATAATCACAAGAAAAACTTTTAAGGAACATTTTCATTGATAGGTAGAGAGTAGCACTAAGTAGATCCAAGATATTTTTGAGGTTTTGATAACATCAAGTATGTACAGTCAGGTCCCAGGAATGCCTAAACTCTACTTGGCCAATTGCTTTTTCTTTCTGTTATGGCTTGTGTTTAAATGTCCCCCTAAAGCCTCATGTGGTCATAGGTGAGGCTTCTCAGGGGTGGCTGGATCTAGAATGTATGATGCTGAGATTAAATATGTGATGCTGATATCAAAGGTGCATGATTACTAAATTAGTTCACTGATTGGTTTGGTGTAGTTCTGAGTATGGATAATGTGAAGGCCTACTGTGGGTGTGACTGCTACTTTCCTTAAGGACATGTAGTCTGGATAGAATACAAGAGACAGAAAGAGAGCTGCTGTCTTCACTTGCTGCTTTTCTTACTTTTGCCTGCCATGAACTGTTTCTCCTTTGTGATACCCCTCTGCCATGCCAGCCTGTCTTGGAGCCAGCCAGTTGTGGACTGAAACCTCTATAAATTGTGAGCCAAAATAAACCTTTATTCTTTTAACTTTGGGTGTCAGATTTTTTTTTAGCAATGAGAAAAAGTAACACAGAGGCTCTTTTAGGGCTTCTGTGCAAAATTTACCTCTTCTAGCTCAGGAGAAGCAAAGTTCAAGCTTTCATAACCCATTGTACAGGTCTCTGGTATTGTTGGGCCAGGGGCATGACTGAGACTAAAGACTTGAGCAGGACCTTTCTACATCTCTGCCCAGTTTCAGTCTCAGTCTTAACCCTGGTGAGCAGCAGGTCCTGAAGAGATCGCTGTGATGCAGGACATGTGAGAGAAAAAAAAAATGTGAGAGGAAACAGTAGGTTAGGCTCATCTGTCTAGTCTGATAGCATGAAGTTGCCAGTTACAAAGAACTCAGGACAGTTTGGCTAGGCCTGCAGAATAGACGTGGATCACTTTACATGGTAAGAATCAATTACATTTTCTTAGGGAAGAGTAAGAAAAGAAGTAGCGAGAAGGGACAGAAATCACCTTCCTATTATTCCTTACTCTGGTTAATTTGCTCTGTGGGGCTTGTGTATCTGTAGACTCTAGATAAACTCTCCCGATTATAATGTGCCTTCAAAATTGAGAACTACTGAGAGTATCATTCAGTACCACTGAGGAAAATGAGTAAAATGATATGTCAGAAGTAGCCTATGTCTATTGGCAGCACAACACTTAGTGGCTTAACACGGCAGTGCTTTATTATTTCTCTTCATTCCATGCATCAGCTGGCCTCATTTGAGCAAGTCTTGATCACATGCTTTTGGTGTCAGCTGGGATTCATTTAGCTGCACTGGCTAGACACAGTGATGGCAAATCTGTTAGAGCTTTCAGTGATATAAACAGTCCACTGTGGCACATGTGCCGTAGGTTCGCCACCACTGCCTAGAGCATTTGAGATGGCTTTACTCATGATTGGTGCCTCAGCAAGAGTTGATGGAATAGCAGGGAGCTGTCTGGTTCTGCTTCCCTCCATGTACCATTCACTGCTCTAGACAACACCTTCACCTGGTACTTGAATTTTGAGTTGGGAAACAGAAGCTTCCAGATCTTTTAAGGTCTAGGACTAGAGCCGGCTCAGTGTTATTTCTACTACATTTTTGTGGTTTGAACAATTTACGAAGTCCCAGGTAAACAGGACAGCAGGTAGAAGGGCAAAGAAGATAAAGATAGGGGTTGAAAATACCTAATCCAAAAATTCAAAATCTGAAATGCCCTGAAATCTGAAACTTTTTGCATATTGACAAGACATTCCAAAAGTTTCGGATTTGGGAGCATTTCAGATTTTGAATTTTCAGATTAGGAATGCTTATAAATGATAGTCTATGCAAGTATCTCCCCCCAACCCCCACTGAAGAAAATAACATGAAATCTTAAATGCTTTTGATCCCAAGCATTTTGGGTAGGTGTTATGGCATTGACACAGTCAAGAAATAAAGAAAGTTTGAGCTATGACAGTAACTTTAAGGATAGTGAGGAACCATTGGAATAGAAAAATATCTAAGAAGCAAAACTGCAGGATGTATTGCTCAGATCTGGAGAAAGTGAGGGAAAGGAGGAATGATAGACTTCCAGGAAGGATGAATGCGTACATTGTGTTGGCAGAAGCTATGGTAGAGAACAGAGACAAGATACCAGTTTGGATGTTTCAAGTTTGAGGCACATAGAATATTGAGGAAGAAATGCTTAGATAGTGGTTGGATATGTGAACATCAACCTCAACAATGAAATTGGGGCCTGGAAGCTGGGATCTTTTAGTCATTATCATGTACATTTTTTTTCCTTTTTATTGAGTTTATTGGTACAATCTAGGTCTACAATACAGTTACATTCATTACTGGGATCCTGTACCTTCACATGACAGGTCTTGGTTCTCATCTTTTCCCCTTGTCCCTGCCCTCCTATCATGTACATTTTAATGGAACTGATGCAGAACTTTTAAGGCAACTTAGCACAGGCATTCTTGCCAAAGGCAGCTTGGAAACACCACCAAATTATTTGATTGAATTTATGTTAAAGGGAAGTTCGTTATTCTGTTCGCTGTAGTACATTAAAACTTCAGATGGTTGAGGCTGTAGGAGAGGGCTTTTTGAGCAGGTCCATTCTAGCTATCTCCAAGCACCAAGGTCTCTTCCCACCAGCTCCATGTTTCTGGGTCCCTGAGCTCTCTAATGTTACCCAGAATGTGGGTCATCACACTATAAGGACCTAACAGCAAAAGGAACTGGCAACACACTTCAATATTTTGATGAAAGATTTCAGACAAGTCTCATAGGTCATTTTATAAAGTATAGGTAGAGTTTATTGCAAAATGATAGATTTTCAGAGTAAGAGACTGCCAAGCATGAAGATGAGCAAGCACCAAAACAGCAGTTATACAGAATGAGGCTTCAGATACATTTATATGATTAACTGGGTTTTTCAAGGAATGTCCTTTCCATTTTTTAAGGTAATTGTTTTTTTGCAAGTAAAATAGGCTGTGTTTACCTACTTCAGAGGAAGTAGATCCTTGTCCACTCCTGAGGTGGATATTTCTCTTTAGTTTGTTGAAACATCCCCTAACCCATGGTCTGGACTATGTTTGAGCATTTGACCTTATGACAATGCTCAGAGGATGTTACACTCTTTGAGCTGAAGTTTGAAACTACAAGCTTGTGGGAATTTTATCGGTAGCTAATAACTTGACGAAGTGGAGGGGGAATAATCATGTGTTTTTGCTTTTTAATTCACCTTCAGCTGCCTGTCTCCCTGCCTTCTAATAACTTTCTGCCTCACATCTAACATATGTTGTATGGTGTAGATCTAAAATGGGCCCCAAAGCCTCATGTGTTTGAAAGGTGATTAGATTATTTGGGCACTATAGCTGACTGGCAGTGAGGAGGTGGGATCTTATCTAGAGGCAGGACTCTAGGAGTGACATGGTAACACATATCTGCATATCTCTGTTCCTGGCTCCTCCCTGCTTTCTACTTCCTGGCTGCCATGAAGTGAGCAGCTTTCCTCTGCCAGACCCTTCTGTGTTGCTTTGGAGACCACGGACTAAATAAACCTCTCTTCCTTTAAAGTTTTGGTCGTTGGGTGTTTTGTCTGACAGTGTTTTGGTGAGAAAAGTAACTAAAACACGTATTTTTACACTGTAGGAGATCTAGCCACTCCTTGAATCTTCATCCTTCTACTAGATTCTTCACATTTTCATCCAGTCTTAAGAAATAATCAGTGTGCAAGGGTAGAAAAAATGAAGCTGTTTTTCTCTCACCTGCCATACAGGTCACCTTCCCACTTTGCTGTTCTCTCACTTGCCAGTTCAGCGACTTGCTCTAGCTCATAAACTTTGTAACTGGCACACTAAGAATTTATGTCTCAGCACACTTAAAAATTACTGCATGTAATGGATTTTGGGGATCATTAATGAATAATTAAAATAATGAATTTTAAATTCTTGAATGCCAAGGGTCTACTCTATATCAATATTTCATGGAGTTCCATAAAGCGCATTACAAATTCTAGCTTTTGTGCTTCTTAAAATATGTTTGAGAACCCCTGATCCATAGTATTGTATTGCTATCTGTGACTTCAACATTTCTTTCTCTTTGACATTAACATGCCAGACTTATTCCTTGGGAGGATTTAAATTTTTTTTTAAATAAACACAAATTATTTTTATTTTGTGGAAATAGAGTGAGTTGAACTGTGATACTATACATTTCTTTTTTTAATATTTTCTTGTTTTTCTTTACTATTGCTACTATGGATTGAACTTCAGGCCTTGCGCATGCTGTGCTAGCACTTTACTAATGAACTACATCCCCAGCCTGGTTTTTAGTTTTTAAAGCATAATAATACATGTTTATTGTCAAAAGTAGAATGCTCATAACCATGTGGAATAAAAAGTGAAAACTTCAATTTGCCTTATCATTTGATTTCACTGTATTACTAATATTTTATGTCATTCTAAAGCTTTTTTATTTACACTAGTAAATACACCTAAACATATAAGGAATATTAAAAAAAAAACAGTATCATAATCTAGTTCTTGCTCTTGTTTAGTTAAAAACATCCTTAGATGTGTCATTATTATTTCAAAATCTGCACAATGTTTCATAATAATCTAATTTTTGTTTACTTTTTTAGTTGTGTGTTTTTTCTTTTCTGCAGTAAATATGGCACATTGTTGAGTAGGAGTTTTTTTCTGTGTTTTTGCTGAGTCCAGATGCTGGGGACAAAATTACTGAGAGTAAGTCTTGGCAAGCCTGGTCCTAATACCGTGAGAAACCACTGAAGCTCCTTGGTTCTTGTGTCTTCAAGGAAATAATTCAGACAAGACTTGTGAGCAGTTGTACAGAGTATAGACAGAGTTTATTACAAAGTGATAGATTTCCAGAGCAGTAGAGGGACTATACTTTCAGGCATGAAAGTAGGCAAGTGCCAAGATGGCAGTTGCACTGAATTAAGGCTCAGCTATATTTATGTGATTATAGTAGTCTTCAAGGAATATCATTTCCTTCCTCCAAGGTTAGCATTCTTTTACATAGAAAATGGAACTGTTTTAACCAACTTTAGGGGAAAGAAGGTTCCTATTTACTTTCTAGGTGAGATAGTAGAATGTAGTTTGTTTTGAGACCTTGAGAGTATTTCTAAACCCTCATTTATAGTCTGGACTTCTGGACATTGTATGGTCCTAGACCTTATCAGCTTGCTCAGAAGAGATTACATTCTCTTGGGCTATAGCTTGAAACTGTAAGTTTGTTTGGATTTATCTATAGCTAATGACTAAGAAAATGGATGCAAAGGGAAAATAGGGTGCATCATGTCTCTTTTTTATGTAGTCTGACTTCAGGCCTGCTAATGTCTAACTTCCTATCTAAAAACATCCCATGTTTGAAAGGAGGGCAGTCCCTCCATATCCCTCAGCTGTGAGAACCAACCCTTGCCCTGTGAAGCTTATTGAACGATATAAGAAGTGTTTACCATTCTGCCCCCTGGCTTTATCCAGAAAGAACCAAGAGGTCAGGAGTGTAGGGACTAGGGCAGTATTTGTAGGGAGGTATTACTTCCTCTCTTTCTAAAAATCAGTAGGCACTTGTAAGAGAATTACTTGTGAGTTTGGAAATGTCAACAGGAATAGGAAGCTGGTGTTTTATGCTAGTAGATTTACTGATCTGCCCATTGCTGAACCTGGAAAAGGAAACTTCAGGAGAGCTGACCCGGTAGGGAACTGTCAAGTAGGGAGGCAGGTCAAGATTGCCTCATTTCCATTCTGGAAATCAACATTTCATGTGTATTTTTTCAAGTTATTTTTCACTAAATGTCTGACATGATTGTAAAGGCTTATTTTCTAATAACTTCAAATTGTTTTAAAGTTTTAAAACTAGAAACAAAATAGTAATGTTAGTAACTTTAAAAAGTGACTCTTGAAGTTTTAAAAATTTTTGTATTGCATGGATCTTCTATTTTTATGCTCTTATGCTTAAATGTATATATTTCTTTTAAAAACGTTTTCTCATTTTTTATAGGAAATGCCAGAATCATTTTCTGCAACCACATTAAGTAATCCAGATATGCATACTGTGAAGATTAATACACAGAGAAATGAAATTCCAATTGTGGGACTTGCAAAGGTTTCTAAACATAAAGTCATGACTAAAGGAACACTAACTCAAGAAGACAAGGCAGTGAGCTGTGCTGAGAGTTGTTCAAGTGTTCAAGGCAAGTCATTCCACAGTGAATCTCAGAGATGTCATCCCAAGTCCAACTTGGAAGCTTCCAGTTCGGAAACTTTGCAGACAAAGGCAACTGATTCACTTCCACAGAGTTCACAAGAGAACAAGGTCAAGAGGTCATCCTGTATGTATGGAGCAAATTGCTACAGGTAAAATGAAATTAACAGGTAGCATATAATTCCATTATTTAAAAAATGTAGCTATGCAGATATATGCTATAGTATATTAAAAACCTAATAAAACCCACTGTCTTTAATGTTTGGAGCTTTACCATATTTTTCCTGGTTTGCACTTTATCAGTATGCATTCTAGCAAATCCTGCCAGGGGCTTTTAAGATACAGTAGGGAATTAAATGTTTTATATGTAGACATGCTGACTAAGGAAAGGATCTGAATACTGAGGAATCCAGACTTGAGAATTGAATCACTCAGACTTAAATACCTGCTTATTTAATGCCTTATATTAGAACAAATATTTTATAAGTAGTTGTTACATAGCCCAAAACTTAGATAATTTTAGATTATGTTTAGGTAGCTTATTATATTTCTGTGTTTTCTTTTCTATTTTTGCAGTGGGGCTTTGAATAACCATGGTATCTTCTAAAACAACTGTCTTGTGTTTTTGTTTTTTTCCCCATTGCCCTGCCCTCCCTTCAACCCCTCCATCCCTTCCTATTTACAGAGACTGTTTCCATTTTTTTCTTTTCTCATATTCATTTCTTTCCCTTCTTTCCCCAAACCTTCCCACTTCCCCTTCCCCTTTGGATTTTTTCTTTCTAATTCACATTATCTGGTAAAAATTTTTGATCCTTATTTACGTTTTTGTTTTTTTCCCCATTGCCCTGCCCTCCCTTCAACCCCTCCATCCCTTCCTATTTACAGAGACTGTTTCCATTTTTTTCTTTTCTCATATTCATTTCTTTCCCTTCTTTCCCCAAACCTTCCCACTTCCCCTTCCCCTTTGGATTTTTTCTTTCTAATTCACATTATCTGGTAAAAATTTTTGATCCTTATTTACACTTTCAGTTTTAACACCAGAAAAACTATTTTGTATTTACACATGTGTGTTCTTTTTATTTCACTTAAGAGTATGGCCTCAATGTGCATCCATTTAGCTATAGTGAAAATGGCCACACTTCCAAAACTGCTATGTAGATTCAATGCAATCTCAATTGAAATGCCAACAACATAGTTCACAGAACTTTAGAAAACAATCCAAAAGTTCTAAAATCCAAATCCAAAATTTGGAGCCAGAAGAGACCTAGAATAGCAAAAGCAATTCTAGGTAACAAAGACAAGGTAGAGGGTATCACAATCCCCAATTTTAAACTAAACTATAAAGCTACTGTAATTAAAAATAGCATGGTACTGGCAAAGAAACAGACCTGAGGATCACTAAGTATCTTAATGGTACATTCCAGTAGTTTTTTGTATTATACATAGGGTATTTATATCACATAGTTTGATAATTTTATATTTGTATTATTTCTTTGTAAAATGCATTACCATTTTAGCACTGGAGTAACCATATTTTTCCATTTTAACAGTTCTAATTGTTATACCCATTTATACCCTGTTTGCAATGGCCTTAGTACTTTTGGAACTTAAAATAAAAGCTTGTGGTATAGAAGTATATAAACTTCTATTACTTTTGATTTTGAATATGACAGACTGGGTGGATTAAATAACAGAAATTTATTTTTTACAGTTCTGGAGGCTGGAATTCCTAGATTAAAGTGGTGACATGTTTGGTTTCTCTTGAGACCTCTCTTACTGATTTGAAAATGAAAATGAAAACTTTTTCCACAGTGTCCTCACATGGGCCTTTCTCTGTTCTAGTACCTCCCTACTATTTCTTCCTTATTGTACAAGTTTGCCAATTATATTGGATTAGAGCCCTGCTCTTACTTTATTTGGTTTTTAAAGTTTTTTCTTTTTTTTTTTGTTTTTTTGAGGTAGGGCTTTGCAGTGTAGTTCAGACTGCCCTTGAACTAATTATGTGGCTAGGCTGGCCTTGAAATCATGGTTATCCTCCCACCTCAGCCTCCCATATGCTGGGATTACAAGTGTTTGCCACCACAAACCCAGCTTCATTTAATCTTAATTATCTCTTTAAAGGCTCTGTCTCTAAATGCAGGGAATTAGTGTTTCAACATAAGAACTTTGAGGGGACATAATTCAGTCCATGGTAGCATTGAGTACCATCATTTATCTTTGTTAAAAGATGATTAAATGTTTTATCAAGATCATAATTATTAATTCATATTTGATAAAGATACATGTTAATTTTAATCAGTCTTAGCTGTAAATACTTTAACTTTTCCCTAATTTTGATGTACATAATTAATGCCTGAAAACTGTTTAACACTGAAACCTTGAAAATAAATTATGTTTATAACAAAAGGAGGAAATGACAAATACTGAGTTCTTGTTGCATATCTTTTTATCTTAATTAAGTTTATTGGTACATTTTAGGTGTACAATACAGTTACATTCATGATTGGGATCTTGTACCTTTACATGACTTATCTTGGATCTTATTTTTTCCCATTCCCCAGCCCTCCCTTCACCCCCTCTACCCTTCCCTGTTTACAAAGACATTGTTTCCATGTTTTTCCTTTTCACATATTTTTTCTTTTCCCTTTTTTACCTTTCTCCTACAACTCCCACTTCCTCTACGCTTTTAAACTTTACTTCCTATTAAACCATATAAATTATACATTTGATTCTTATTTACACTTTTAGTTTTTCATACCAAACTATTTGGTATTTACAAATGTGTGACTTTTTAATTTCACTTAAGAGTATCGCCTCAATGTGCATCCACTTAGCTATAAATCTCTCTAGTTTCTTGTTCTTTATGGCTGAGTAGTACTCCATTTTATTAAAAGAAACACATCTTTTTATCCAGTCTCCAGTTGATGGGCAATTGGACTATTGCCAAATTTTAGCTTTTACAAACTGTGCCACTGTAAATATGAGTGAGCATATATTGCTGTGGTTTGATTCTTTTAATTCTTTTGGGAAGATACCCAGAAGAGGAATCGCTGGGTCCAATGGAACTAATCCTAGTTCTTTGAGGTATCTCCATATTGATTTCCACAGTCTGCATTCCCACCAACAATGGAGAAGGGTTCCTTTCTCCCCATGACCCTGCCAGCATTTGTTATTGGTTGATTTCTTGATAGAAGCCATTCTTACTGGGGTGAGATGGACTCTCAGTGTTGTTTTTATCTGCATCTCTGGAATGACCAGTGATGTTGAGCATTTTTTCATATGTTTATTTTCTGCTTTTACTTGTTTGAGAAATGTCTGTTCATTTCAGATGCCCATTTTTGAATTGGTTCTTTACATTTGGGGGTCTGATTTTTTTGAGTTCTTTTTATATTCTATATAGTAGATCTTTGTCTGAGGAACAGCTGGTAAAATTTTTTTTCCTGCATTGTGGGTTGTCTCTCAGCTCTGCTTCTGATTTCTCTGGCAGTGCAGTAACTTTTTAAAAAGATGAGATCCCAACTATTGATTCTTTGTGCTAGTTCCCATGCTACTGAGGATTTCTTCCTAAAGTCTTTTCCTATGCCAGTATCTTTAAGAGTTCTACCTAATTTATCTTCCAGAAAGTTTAGTGTTTCTGTTTTAATATTTTCATCTTTAATCCACTTGGATTTTACTTTAGTGCATGGTGAAAGATATGGATCTAGTTTTAATCTTTGACAAGTTGAAATCCAGTTTTTCCAGCACCATTTATTAAAGTGGCTATCTTTCCTCTAATGAGGATAGTTGACTCTTTTGTCAAAGATGAGGTAGCTGAGTATGTCAGGAATTTTTCCGCATCTTCTAATCTGTTCCACGGATCCTCAGGTCTGTTTCTTTGCCAGTGCCATGCTGTTTTTAGTCACAGTAGCTTTGTAGTATAGTTTCAGGTTGTGGATTGTGGTACTCCCTGCCATGAGTATTTTGTCTAGAATTGCTTTTGTTATTCTAGGTCCCTTCTGATTCCAAACGAGTTTTTGTATTGTTTTATCTAGTTCTGTTAAATATACTGTTGGGATTTTGATAAGCATTGTATTGAATCTGTATAGCAGTTTTGGAAGTAGGGCCATTTTCACTATATTGATTCTTCCTACCCAGGAGCAAGGGATGTCTTTCCATTTTATTATATCCTCTTCAATCTCTTTTTTCAGAGTGTTGTAGTTCTCAATGTATAAGTCTTTTGTTTCCTTTGTTAGATTGATTTCTAGGTATTTCATTGTTTGGATGCTATTGTGAAAGGGATTGTTTCTCTAATTTCACTCTCAATGAGTCTGTTATTTGTGTACAAGAAGGCTGTTCATTTTGAAGTATTTACCTTGTATCCAGCTACTTTACTGAATCTGTTAATTAAGTCTAGAAGTTTTTTGGTGGAGTTTTTTGATTTTCTATGAAGACCATCATCAGCAAATAATGACAGTTTAATTTCCTTGCCCATTCTCACTCTTTTTATTTCTTTCTCTTGTCTAATTGCTGTGGCTAAATTTTCTAGAACTATATTGAACAGGAGTGGTGATAGTGGACATCCTTGTCTTGTTCCTGATTTTAGCATGAAGGTTTTCAGTTTTTGACCGTTTAGTATGATGCTGGTTGTTAATTTTTCAGATAGCCTTTATCAAGTTGAGATAAAGACCATGTATTCCAATTTTCTTCATTTTTTTTATCATAAATAGGCATTGAATTTTGTTGAATGCCTTTTCTGCATCGAGAAGATCTTGTGGTTTTGTCCTTGGCTCTGCTAATATAGTGTATTACATTTATTGATTTACTCATATTGAACCATCCTTGCATCCCTGGGATAAATCCAACTTGGGCAGGGTTTATAAACTTCTTGATAAAGCTGTGTATTCTGTTTGCCAGTATCTTATTGATACTTATCCTTTTGCATCTGTGTTCATTAAGATTGTTCTGTAGTTCTCTTTTTTGGTTGGGTCTTTCCCTGGTTTTAGAATCAAAGTAACACTTGCTTCGAGGAATGAATTTGGAAGTATTGCTTCTCTTTCAATTTCCTTGAAAAGTTTAAAGAGTAGTGACAGTAGTTCTTCTCTGAATGTTTCATAGAATTCAGCAATGAAGCCATCAGGGCCTGTGCTTTTCTTTGTTGATAAATTCCTAATTA